GTCCTCAAGACCGAGCTCCGCGAGGAGCTCGCGCGGGGCGACGGCGCCGCGGCGCCGCGGCGCGCGTCCCGGCGCGAGAGCAACGCGGGCCGCCTGTCGCTCTCGGGGCGCATCATGGGCACCGGCAACACAATCGGCGGCGCCGACGACGCGCGGGACTGCCTCTTCGACAAGGCGAGCGAGTCCTACTACTTCCGCGTGCAGACGATGGTGCTCTTCAACGAGCCGTCGCCGCGGCTCGCGCTCCACGTTGTCGTCGTCGTCGTCGCGATGATGCTCCAGCTCTTCGCGCTGTCGACGGTCTGGCAGACCATTTGGTTCCCCGTCGACGTGGCGCGCTGGGGCGTCGACGACCAGGCGGAGCTCGAGTACTTCCCGAGCGGGCTCCCGCGGCCGACGAACTACGCGAAGCTGCTCGAGTTCTACAACGACACGAACCTGTGAGTTCGGGGCCATCGTCGCGCGCGCGTCCCACGCGCGATCGGCGCAGGTTCGGCGTCCCGCTCATCACCATGGCGCCCCTGGCCTTTTGCGCCGTGCTGATCACGCTCGGCACGCGGTCCGAGTTCGCGCAGTGCAAGGCGGGCTACTGCCTCGTGCGCCGCAGCGCGGCCGAGGCCGAGGGCCTCGCGACGGGCGCCGCGCGCGCGCGGCGCTGGTGCCGCCTCGCGGTCTGCGGCTTCCTCTCGTTCCAGCGCGTGTCGCTCGTGCTCTACTACGTCGACGTGTCGTCGCAGATGATGGGCACGGCCGACGGGTCGCGGCGCCGCGTCCTGCGAGCGACGACCCTTCAATCTGATGCTCGACGCAGGCCCTTCAATCTGATGCTCAACGCGCTGGCCATGGTCTTCATCCTCGACCTCGACGACCTGATCCTCTTCGACATGTGCGCGCGATCCCGCCCGGGGCGCCCCGCGCGACGCGTCCCCCTTAGGCCGAACGCGAACTTTTTCGGCTACGAGGAGCCGCGGCTCAAGGCGCGCTTCGAGCGGCGCGCGGCCGCGGCCCAGGCCGCGCTCCGCGGCGCCTACGACTCGCGCGCGGCCGCGTCCCGCGACGCCGCGACCGCGCGCGGCGCGGACGTCGCGCGGTCCAGGCTCGCGTCCGCGCCGGACCGCGTGCGGCAGCTCTACAACGGCATGGGCTGGATCTTCCACGCGGGCATCTGCGTCCTCATCATCGTGGTGAGCAGCCGCATGCAGCGCGTCACGGCGACGGGCGAGCTCGTGACCGTCGACGACGACTCCATGTACGGTGCGTCGGCTTTTCCTCCTCCGCGCGACCGGCCACGCGCGCGCGCAGGCCCCCACCGCACGCGGCTCACGGCCATCTACTCGTGGATCATGTACGGCACGTGCCTGCTCGTCGTCGCCGACGCGGAGATCGCCGCGTACCTGTCGACGCGGAATCTGGCCATGGCCTGGTCGACGGCGGGCGCGCTCGCGCGGTCCCTCGCGTGGGCGGCCTGCCAGTTCGTCTGCCTCACGCTCATCCGCCACGTCTTCATCCGCTGGACCCTGGGCTGTCTCATCCCCTTCTCGCTCTCCTACAAGTCCTGGCCGCTGGACTTCTGGGGCTCCATCGACCCCGCGCCGAACCGGCCCAAGGACCACTACGACTACGCCTACGACTACGCCTACGACTACGCGGGCCCGAACGAGGAGTAGGCGCCTCGGGCCGACGCGCGAGTAGGCAGCGGCGGGCGTGTAGGGTCTCTCACTAGATCTACGGCGATGACGCGCCGCGGCGCGCGCCCCTTGGGGTCCTACCCCTTGAGGAAGTTGAGGGCGCCCCGGGGCAACGCCAGTAGCACGGCGAACACGACCAAGGACGTGACGAACATCACGAAGACGACTTGCCGCGCTCGGCGATTCATCTCGAGCGGCTTGCTCTCTGTGGCGCCGAGGGGCCTCGGGAGCTCGACGAGTGTTGTTTCGACGTGACGCAGCGTCCAGGGACGCATGAGAAGGAATGCGCAATTCCGTTGATTGCCATCGGCGGTGCTGGGGCTCCTCCGCAAGCAACTTGTGTTGTACCCAACCAGCCAGAACCCGTGATGGTGAAAACTCTGCCAGATGAACAGGTGTAGAAGTGCAGCAAATCCTGACGCGTGTTCATCGCTGCGGCATTTGCAAACAATCCGGCCATAACTGCCGCACCTGTCCTCAGCGTAG